CGTAGCTGAATCAATGCCAAGTATACTGCCAACGCCTTGCTTCGCAACCTTTGCGCGCTTTACCAGACCCTTCCCAGCACTCCTCCCCGCTTTCTCCATCGCTCACTTTTTTTGAGTTCTTCCCTTGCCAAGCGAGCAAGCACTCGCTCTTTCTGATCCAACAACTTCTGCCTCGCGCGCTCCTCCTTCGGCAGCTCTTTATTTTTTGCCGCCGCCCGTGCTGCCTCCTCCTACTTCTTTCTAATCTGAACGAGGCTCCCAACTGTCAAGCAAGCGGCGGGTGCCCCACATCCAAGAACCTTCTTTGTGCTCTTAGCCACACTCACAGTAAGCACAGGCTTTATTCCCCGCAGTATAGAACTCACTGTTTGGTTCTCCCTGAGAACCCTCGATATCGCTTCAATGGAAGCACTGGGCCGCGACTCATTCCTTACAATCCGCTTGATGTCTTCAAACGTTCGCGCATCGCTGCGACGAAGGCAGACGCTGGTCAACCGATTTGCCGGTCCTCCATTAGTAATGCTCTGGACCTTCTCTTCGACTTTCTGTACTTCCCCTTTTCGTTCCCTCATTCTGTTGCGAAACGATAATCTACAGGCCACATGCCAGTGTAGTTAAATGAATCGCGTACGTTCTGAGCAGTAATTGCCTCGTGTCCAGCGACCGCCAGTTTTATCTTGAATCCAGTCGCGTGCACATTCGTGGCGGCCATTCCCATGAGATCATCCCTGGTTTTTCTCACTGCCCTTTGGAACATTTTGTTGATTTCGTCGTCACAAGGCTGCAAGAAATAGGTAGTGTTCGCTGGCAACAGAAGCACCTCAATGTTGCGCTTCTGTGCCTCCTCCACCCATTCAATGCGATTGCGAGAGGAGTGTCCATCAAGAAAGAGCGCTACTGCTACGTCTCGATGGACGATCTGCCGCACATATTTATCAAAATGCTCGATAAACATTGGAAGCGTCTGCTTCTCGATAGATCCATTTTGAGTGCACCGAAGCACAAATTCGCTTGGCAACCACCCCGATTTCGCCAGACAGTGTGGAGCCCCATTATCATGTTTAAAAAGGTTCGCGGTAGCGGTTTGATCCAATCTTCCATTATATAATTCCCCGCGGCAATACAGAAAAGTGGTGCCATATGTCCACTGGCAGAGGCTGCGAGCACCGCCGTGACGTGTTTCCCCGAACCCCTTTGCACCGACTTAAATCCACCGTGGTGAGAACTTGCGTTAGTGAAGGTTTTTATGCGACGACCGAACTCCCCGTCTACGTGCGTTTCGTCCATATTCCATAGTCTTTTCGGATCGTTAAAAATTCCGGGATGCCTTCTTTCGACATCAGCCATACATTTGGCAAAAGTGTTGACATGTTCAAGATTTTCCGCACCATGCTTTGCAGCATCTTTGTTTTCTGCTTTGCGATAGGTTATATCACGATTCAGGGCTCTATATGTACCTCTTGCAGCATCAGAGGGAGTGGAGTTCTTGTATCCAGGCCTACCATCAGCTGCCAATTTTTGTAAAATGGCTTTCATTGTGTTCTTGTCGACCGAAAACTCATGCAAAGCGGCACTTTTTATTTTATCGTTGAGCATTACAGCCTCCTCAAGTGTCCATACTGTCTTTTTACCAGGCCGATTGTTAGCAGGGTCAAGCAGCTTTGCAAGGGACTGGTGGTATTTTGCGTTAATACTAGTTGCAATGCGTCCTGCAGTTCCTTTTGAAATTCCACAAATGTCCGCAAAATGGCGGACAGAATGCTTCTTGCGGATCATTTCGGCTGCTTTTTTTCTTCTCTCCGTTAAATCTTGGTCACGTACCTGTCTACGGATCGCCAGAAGCGTTTGACGCCGCATCGAGAGAGGCATCTCGAGGCAATCCCGCGGTTGATGGCGGTCAATCTATCGATTTCTAGCACTCCCTTTTTATTTGAAGAGTCCTATCACGGATCGACCCGCCTTTTTTCGAAAGCAGTTTAATTCAAGATATTCCTCAACATGATACGAAGCACTTGGCGCGCTTTGGATGGGTCTCAAGTGCCAGAAGGACGCTTGGCATAGGTAAATAATAACGCTGTCCCAAAATAAACCCCGCCCCAAATTAAGCCCCCGGGGAAGGGTACGTCCAGCGAGTTTGTAGGCAAATGGAAAAAACAACGCGTTATTTTACAGACAACCTTGCTTTATGACTGAAAACAGGCAAAAAAACTCGCCACTTGGGCACTTGGCTCCACGCAGTTGGCTTGGAGAGTAACGATCGCGTCCCCATCGCGAGATAACATGTTATATCCAGTTGACTGTAGGCTCGAGGGTTTGGCGAGGGTTTGGCACACTGCGTTTTACAAACAGGCTATAAGATCACGCGCCTAGGATTCATTAGGCCTTCCACGTAGTTATGGGGTATAAGCCGTAAGAATCAATCATCATCAATAAAATACATCCACAATTGGATACGTTTCCAACAGTACATATTTACAGTGCCATAATTCAGTACGCAGCTATTCTACAGCAAGGGGCAGCACGACCACAATTACGTGGTAGCTTCATGAGCTTATTGCGATTGAGCAGCCTCAGGCCACCCCATTCCCTGACCGAGGCTTTTGTCAAATGCCCAAGTCTTTCGACAATAACACAACCACTTCGCCCGTATCGGAGCCGCCACACCCCCCTGGCCCCCCAATCCACTCCACAATCCCCAAACCCGCCCCTCCCACATGCTCCTCCATCTGTCATCTGCCCCTCCGATCTGCTCCTCCACCCCATAATCGCTCCCCCGATCCGCTCCTCCACCCCCCTCTCGCTCCCACGATCTGCTTCCCCATCCCCCCTGCAACACCGACCCGCTCCTCTGTCCCCCTCCTGCCCCTCTGATCTGTTCCGGCGTCTGCTCTCTTGACTCCGGCACACCGACATGCAGAATTATTCCTCAGCTGACGCCGCCAACGCTCTACAAATTCTTGCTGACGCTGCAGTGGAGCGTCAGAACGAGCTTGAGAAATTCTCAGTTCAGCCTGACGTCTCCGATTCAGATGAAGAAAGCGACTCTGACAGCCCGATCTTTGATCGGTTCTACGAGCGCGGCGGAGGGCGAGCAATTGTCAGCATGATCAATTTTGATCCAGAGGAGTTCACAATCATTTGGGCAAACTACAGAGATTTTATCACAACCCACTACAATTGTGGTCGAGGGCGCAAGTCACCGCATTCGGCAAAGGACGTCTTGTTTATGACGCTCACTACCCTAAAACACGGCGGGCAGTGGGATTTGTTGGCAAATCTCTTTTCCCTGAAGGGTCCCACCTTCGAAAGACTCATAATGCGCTTCGTGAACACGCTTTCTACGCACCTGTATGATACACTTGTCGCTCAAAATGGGGAGCTGTACTCCATGACTGAAATGCTGAAAGAAAAGTCTACTTTCAAGCACTTTTCGTTCGCTTGCTACGCTGTAGATGTCACTTTTCAGATGTGCAACCGGCCTAGTGGCAACATGCAGGAGGGAAAAAAGTTTTTCTCCGGAAAACATAAGCTCTACGGCTACAAGGTGGAGGTTTCAGTTCTCCCAAATGGTTGAGCTATCGGCTGTTCAGAGCATGTGCCCGGGTCAGTGTCAGACCTTGAAATTTTTAAAGAAAACAGGGCTTTTCACGACGTGAATGTGAGGAAGGCGAGAAGTGACAGACATGTAACAGATCTTGGATTGTTGGCAGGTGAGTATCCAAGGCAATGGGCGATTTTGGCCGACAAGGGGTACCAGGGCGGAGCAGAGATTTTTCGCTTAGTCAGCCCAAAAAAGAAACCGCAGAATGCCTGTCTGTCGGTCGATGACGAGCGGTTTAACAGGAAAATCTCGTCAGACAGGATACTTGTAGAGAACTGGTTCGGTAGGGCGTGTGGTCTATGGGCGGTTGTCTCCACCAAATGGAAGTGGTCTGAGAGCAGCTACGATACTATTTTTCAGCTATGTGCTGCGCTGACTAATTTGCACATTACTTGGCATCCACTTCGGCAGGAAGACCTGGATCGATATCAGCGTGTGAAAAATCGCCAGGTGCACATCGGTGTGGAACAAGTAGAGCGCCGACGGCAGTCCCAGGAGCGCTATCGTCGGAAGCGTGCGAGGCGCATGTCCCTGCAGTTGCACAGAGCTGGAATGCCAGATCGCGACCCCGATGCTGATATATGAGGCAATGACTACAGTGCCATTGAATAGTTCTGTAATGAATCACTTCCAACCCGAAAAATAAATGGCTACAATTGTGCTAATTAATTGCCAAATTCTCAGTCGCGCATTGTAAGCGTTAGTCCCATCTGATGCCAATCAAACAATATACACCTCACCTGTCATTGCGTAGTTTCCCAGTCTTTGCGAGAAAGACCTATTGTGAAGAGCGAGCGATTGGAGATTGAGGGCCATTCCATTCATCGTGATTGGCAATCACGCAATCACGTCAATAAATGGTGGCTGCTCCCTTGTGGTTGGTTGTTTATATTACGTTTCCTAAAAAATGGTCATGCTCATTAAAGAAATAAACAATCGACTTAAAATTAATCTTGTGCTCCAACTTGCAGAAAGACGTTAAATTAATGTCGTGATCGCGTGATTGCGTGATTGCATGATTGCCAATCACGATGAATGGAATGGCCCTGAGGGCCATTCCATGACAGCGGCGGCGCTCTCGTTGGCTCGCGATAAACAGCTACCGATCTAAATCGATGGCAACGACATGATGGCACCCAACCCGTGTGCGAGAAATCTCATCAAGTCTTGACACAGTACAATATCCTGAAACATAGTCGACAGCCCATGCTAACGTTCGTCACTATGGCATTTCACATTGCCCTTGTATTCTATCTTGGGTCTGGCAGAAGAAAATACGTCGACGCACCGCTGGCAACCTGCGACGCATCTATATAACCCCCGTGCAGCTTCTTCCGCTCCCCAACGTTGGCTCCATCACCCCGTCAAAAGCCCCTCGCGCGCCCATAACTTTTCCACTATGCTTCGACTCACCACCCTTCTCCTCCTCCTCTCGCTCAGCCTCTGCTCCCTTGCGCAGCCAGGCCACGACTCTGGGCTGTCCCGTTTCACCCGCAAAAAGTATGTCACAATCAGCGGTAAGCGCATGGCCTACGTGGAAGTCGGCACTGGCGACCCCATTGTCTTCCTGCACGGCAACCCGACCTCCTCGTACCTGTGGCGCAATATCATGCCCTTCCTCGAAGGCAAAGGGCGTCTCATCGCCCCGGATTTAATCGGCATGGGCGATTCCGACAAGCTCGACAACAGCGGCCCAAACCGCTACACTTTCGTCGAGCACAGCAACTACCTCTTCGCGCTGCTCGAGGCCATCGGTGTGAAGGAGCGCGTCACCCTGGTCATCCATGACTGGGGTTCTGCTCTCGGATTTCTGTGGGCCTACTACAACCGCAAAAATCCCAACGCAGTCAAGGCCATCGTGTTCTTCGAGGCGTTTGTCGCCCCCTTTCCCTCGCTCGACGAGCTTCCAGACGGCGGAGAGGACTTCTTCCGCCGCTTGAGGAGCCCGGCGGGCGAGAAACTGGTGCTGCAGGAGAATTTCTTCCTCGAGGATGTCCTCTTTGATACAGGCAATTTCAGCGAAAAGGATAAAGCGGTGTATCGCAGGCCGTATTTGAAACCGGGAGAGTCGCGTAGGCCAATGCTGACGTGGCCGAGGCAGGTTCCCATCCGTGGTAAGCCGGCGGATGTCACCGCACTGATCGGTGCGTACTCAAGGTGGCTCGAGAAGGCAAAGATTAGGAAGTTGTTCATTAACGCCAAGCCGGGCGGCCTTTCACGTTTTTCCAGGCCGATTGTGCGGAAGTGGCCTATGCTGACGGAAGTTACGGTTCCGGGGTTTCATTTCCTACAGGAGTCGACCCCTGGCAGAATCGGCCGGGCTATTAAGAAGTGGTTGTGAATTGTATAAGAATGGATTGTGGCAGAGCTGCTGCCTGTGTGATATTATCGTTAACTAAATGATGGACTGCGAGTTTATGTTCAAGTGACTGCACAAGCAGTTAGAGCATCACCACCGGTAGAAGCAAATAACCAAATAACCAAAATTTGATGATTTGATGTCGATTGTCATGCCCACCGGTCCGACCAAATCAGTAAATTTTTGGTTCCGAGGCAAATATCGGAACCAAATATCAAGAATTAGGTTCCGCTTCTCCGTATTTAGTACCCTAGACAATCCAGTTGTCCAAGGCTCACTGGTCAGACAAAAAGACTTCCCTCCAAAAAACATGACGAAGGGGTTTCGTGGCAAAACAAGCGGCAGTCTCCCGCCATCTCTCCTCTTCAAATGCCACAAGACCAGCACGGATTTTATTGTTTTCCGGTAGGGATGCTCCGCACTGGTCGGTGAAGGCATCTCTGAGAGCATCCCCCCTGTTGGTCATCAAGCGCAAGCTCGGTGATGACAAAATGAGTTCCCCCTTTTCAGGCTCGCTACCCCCCTCTTCCCTGGATCCTTCCATCTATGGGACCCCAACACGTTCAGCTTCGGTTCCGTTAACGTCTTCAGAGTCCGTCACTGCGACTCCTCGTAGGAGGGGACACGGGTGAGTACGAGGGTCAGTAAGAGCGTACTACACAGTATTTGGTTCTGACCGGTGGGGCCGTCCTTTTTGAAATATCAAATAACCAAAGAAGCAAATCACCAAATTCCCACCAGCCAATTGAGTTCTAGAAAAAAAGTGCCAAGTGTTCTTGTTTGGTCATTTGATCACCTTCCGGTGGTGATGCTCTTAACAAATGTAATAAGTTCGGGAAAAATGTGATGTTTACCTTTTTTTGTCTGCTCAACGTACCCCTCAAAACTTCGCAGTAGTGGAGTTCTGTCTTCTGTGCGAAAGAACGGCGAAAACTTCTTGCACAGCTGACCCGCATGCAATGTATGAGGGTTCCATCTACACAGACCACTCGACATCGAGAGCAGTGCGATAGCACAAGGCACGAACCCACTCCTTTATTATTTCTCTTTCTCCTTTCCCTCTACTTTAGTCCGTCTGCGCGCGGGGCGCTGCGTCGTCGCTGATGCGCTGACAAGTGCACCTCGTGTACACCTGTTCATGGAACAGGTCGCGTGATGCCATGCAGGACAGTGGGCGGCACGGTTTTGCGAAGGACCTTGCTTGCGTCGTGCTTGCAGAGACATTATCTGAACCTCATCATCTGTTTCTGTTTCTGTATGCGCCGCATCGACGACATTCTACCCAAGCATCCGCCCCTGAACCAATTCCCGCGCGAGCGACCACGAACCTACCACCACCTACTCCGCAATATCAAACAGCACAAACACCTTCACCTGAACATCGAGCTCTCCGCCCGACACGAACGTATCATCCGGGGGTCCAAACGCCAACGCACCCACGAATTGATTCTCCCGCGGCGCCTGTATCGCAGTTTCGCTAATCGCGAGCACCTTCCCCAGCTCCACGCCGGCGTTCTCTGCGAACAACATTGCCTTCCTCTTCGCGTCGGCCACGGCGAGCCTCCTGGCCTTGTCCTTCGTCATCTGTGAGTCCTCCAACCCGAACGTGACCCCATTAATCTCGTTACTCCCGGCGAGCACCAGCGCGTCGAGCACCCCGCCGACGGCATCCACATCGCGCACCTTGATCGAGATAGAGTTGGACACGGTGTACACGCGCGTCCTGTTCTCCCGACGCCCGCGAGTGTCCTGGAACACGTCGAAGGATGACGTCTGCACGTCTGTGTCCGCGATGCCTCGCTCCTTCAGGGCGGCGACCACGCGCGAAAACTTGCGGCTATTCTCCGACAGCGCGGCTGCTGCAGTAGTAGCCGTCGTCGTCACGCCCGCATCTATCGTGGCTAGGTCCGGGACGGCGCTGGCGCTGCCTTCGCCTACCACGTTGATCGTGCGCGCGGAGGCCGTCAGAAGCAGCGTCGCGAGGAGGAGAAGGGTGACTTTCATGGTGGCGGCTTGTTTGCGCAGTTGTTTTGATCAGGTGGTTGGGAGGAGTACTGCTTGGGTGCTGAGACGAGAAGGGATTGTAGTGGGCGTAGTCAGATACATACACATATATATAGTAGTCTGGAGCCCCTAACCCTGAGCTTGGTTAAGGATGCAGGCGGAGGGCGACAAGTGTGAGTGATTTAGAGACGGGCGAGAGGTGATGAGGTGTTTGCCACGTCGGCTGTGAGAGAAGGAATCGAAAGAGAGAAAGAAGCGTGGCGAGATTGGTATGAAGAAGAAACGCCAGGGAATAGTGGCAATCGTGGGGTAGACGGGAGCGGTATACCTCGAGAGAGGCGCCAGTCGTCGTGAGAGAGGCCTGCGGGTATATCTAACGGTGGGTGATGTTGCAGTATCGCACAGTATGAGTAAAAGTCAACATACTCCTCTTTATCCGTACAATCCGTACCAGAGATATAGGATGTGAGGGCCACAGAAGGGATTGGAGATTCTACAATTACCTATTGTAGGATGGTGCGGACGCTCCATGCAAGTTTCACTTGTGCAGTACGTACAGTAACAAAGTGATGCTGTATGGGGTGGATGTTGCAGAAGCGAGAGCCTCCTCCTGCATTTTGAAACCGTACGGACGCACCGGGGGCATGTGATGGACGATGAGAGAGCGAGTTGATGATCGCATAATAGTAGGCGCATCACATGTGCGCAAAGTGACTTGTGCAGGTGCGAGAAACTCAAATGTAGCGCGGTGGAGAGAACGGGAAGATTGGTTAGAGAGGCCATCCGTTACTTTGCTCATACAATACTACTCTGTACTATGTGGATGACGATACAACTGACAATACTGTATTACAGAATACTACTGTACGAGTGTTCAGCAACTTGAGGAAGGGAGAGTCCAAATGGAGGTGGAAATAAGTGGATGATCAACTACGGAGTGATATCTGCAGCTGTTGATGATGCGGTGTGGACTTTTGCGACTCTGGTGAGAAAGTACAGTAGTCGCCCATGTATGCCCCTTTGTGTTTTCTGTAGACACGGCTAATGTACAGAATGGTGCGGTACAGTGCAGTACAAAAGATAATTTCTCCACCGGTTTGCTGATTGAGCACACATGAGACCCGAATGTCCCTCCATTCTATCCCTCCATTCTCTGGTGCGAAGGAAGAAGCGGGACTCATACTGTAGGGTTGAGCCTTTGTTAGATCGCCGTGATATTCAAATTTAAAAGAAATCATCCAATGAGCGGCTGGGCAACATTTGCGCCAGGTCACCCAAACGTGGTCGGAGAGAAGACGACTGCATAGAGTGCTATTTTCTGGATGCACCCAATAATGAGTGCATCCAGAAAATAACACTGTAATTTGCTTCAGAAAGCTGCCCATATTTCCATATTTCCATGACGTCGCACAAAACCGCTTGTTCCTCGCCGCAGGACCTTGGCTTCATCAATACTGTACATAGAGCAATGTCCTTTCGTTTACCCTCAACGTGTGCTCCTCGCCCTGTGTGGAGTCTCACGACTTGTTCACTACTGTACCGCATAAACATCACTACAAAGCATGTACTGTACCATATATTTGCCTTTGTACTGTACTGTGCCCATTCTACTCCGCGCTCTCGTGACGCTTACCCACTGGTTGCACACGCATCGCTCGACGCTTGTCTGTTGGGACTCTGTTGGGATAGCACGCGGATATGAGGGGCGCGCACACACAAGGAGGAGAACGGCAGTGCGTGAGTGGGTAAGGAATGGAGCGGAGGCAGCAAGGGAGGCGCACGAAAACGAGAAGTAGAACCAGGGATGATGACAGGACACTAGTACAGTATCTGCTGTTGTAGAGTTTTCTAGGTAGCGCACGAGCCGCGCCGATCGAACTGAGTTTGAATGCGTAGGACATGATAAGTGCACCACCATTCTACATGTGAGCAGATTGTTCGTGCTTAGAGGGAGGAGGAGCTATACACTGTAAGTTCGTAAAGAGAGTACTATCTGTACTGTACGAAAGAACCCTACAGAGAGGACTCGCCCAATAGTGCCGAATTGAGTAATTCCACGAGTGAGTAATGCAGGGGTTTTTCGGTGAACACAGGTTCTCATACCTTGCATTGCTGTTAGACACCTGTCCTAGACGGGGACGCGGCCACGAAGATGCCCAACAGGAAACGGATCATCCTTTCCAACAGACCCCACAGATCCTCTCCGTCTTACTCCAGTGACACGCAAGGGCACCGACACAACCACAACACAGCATGAAAAGACGAGTGCAGATGGAACCAAAGGGATAGAATCAAATGAGTGTGTTATTCCAGGTTTTGAGGAAGTAATTGCCTGCTTTACGAGAGTGGAGGAAATGGTGAACAATTCGGGTATCGAGGATGCAGTATGCCGTTTGCACCGTGCAAAGCGCGAGTTTCTAACTGCGCACCGTGAGCAGAGTCGTTCCTAGAGGCTCTGTACCGTCCTGCGTCGCGCTGTGGCTCTTCGTCGATCGCATCCGGTCGACGCGCCTCGCGGGCAGGGGCGCTCTGGCCTACTCGGGGCGACCGGATGCGTGAAGGCCCGAGGTGTAGTGCGGGGGAGGGCTCTGTCGTGTGAGGCACATCGGTGGCCCGGCCAAGGGCTCAGTGCTGTGAGACGGAGAACGGCCCCTGCCAGCCTTTTGTTTCAAGAGCGAAGCGAAATGCCACTACCGCGCGCGACAGTTAGCCTTGCGATAATAAAGGCCGCCCCCGACAGATCCCCAGAGGAGGGGATCATCGGATCGGGGAGCATCGCCAACGGAGCTGCCCTTCAGAGAAACCCTCGTCCTCGCTTCCTCCCGACGCGCGCGCCTCCCTCACCCGACGACGTCGTCCACGCTCGCTCGCGAGGAACTTCAAACCCGCCGGTTGCCACAGTAATTACTCGCGTGATTAGGACCGCGGTGAGAAATTCCTTGCGTGAGCTGTCCAACTCGGAAGAGGCCGAGGGATATGGACCGCAATCAATCTGATTCTAGGCCGTCTGGTAGCGTGAAGCAGACAATCGTGGAGTACGTTGAGGCACCCCGTCTCACAGACATATCTACATCGGACTTCGTTTTGTTTGCTCGGAGAAGAGAGGTCTACGAACGCTGGGTTGAAGAGAAAAACGCTGACTGTACAGTGAAGATGCCCCTGACCTCCTACCGCAACTCCATTTCGAAGGCCATCCTTGAGCTTGTCGTAGTCGCTGGATGGGTGCCAGCATCGGATACTGATGACATCACAGAACAGGACCTGAAGGACTGCGTCGAGAAGCACGCCAAGGTCCTCCCCTCCGACTACGATCTTGCGTTTCTGGAACGCGAGCTACGCCACGTTTCCATGGAGAGGCGTGGCACAGCATGCACTCTGGAGCGACAAGTCTGGAGGCTGTGCTTAAAGTACACCTCTACGCTCCAGAAGTGCGGTTATGACGAGTTTGTCAGCAAGCAACCGAGGCTTGCTGTGCAGCACATAATGACACGGATCTCTCTTCCTCAGCTCAGAGCTCGCATGAAGCTTACACTTCGCCTAATGAAGGAAGAAGGATTCGGTAGAGATTTCCGCGCATTTGTGCAGGAGCTGGGTAAGGAAGCCCAGGCACTTGATCGCCATGACGTGGCCACTAGATACCAGTTCTGTAGTAAGGATGAGGACACGGACTCTGGCAATGAGGGCATTCGAACTGCGCGCAGCAAGCAACGCGTGGCCCCGAGTGTTCCGCGTTCTCGTTTTGGCCGCCCACATGAAAATTACCGGAAGCACATGCGGGAGGCAGATCCAATGCGATCAGACTTCTCGGCGAACAAAAGAGAACGATAACCCCCGGATTGCCTCAATCCAACCTGCAGCGGCAAGCACTTCGTGAATGATTGCCCTACCTTCTCACAGGAAGAGAAAAGGCGGTATAGGAAGCAGTACCACGACGCCAAGCGGGCACGAAACCAAGACGCAGAGAAGGCCGGAAACTTCCAACGGCGCACTCGCGGTGGTGTTAGACAGATCGAACGACCCGGCATTCATCAGAACTCCTCCCTTTTCTCCGCCTCTTTTTGCAACGGGGCTGTCAATGCGGCTGTTATGGCCGACTCAGGGTCTGATATTACAGTGCTTCCTTCCTCGCTTCTAGATCTCATCCGCGCCTCCGACCCGCAAATTCGGGTGCGGCGTCTAGTCGAGCCCATGCATTTCGCCAATGCGCATGCCTTCGCCGCTCCTTTGGAATGTTCACGCGAGGTCGAGCTCGATGTCGAGTTACGTATCCGTCACGGCGAGCGCCTCATTCTCCGGAGAGTGAAGTGGCTCGTCAGCGACGCCCCCATGACGCACGCTTACCTGGGACGCCATCTACTCGCCGCTCTAGGCATGGACAATCGCGTCCTCATGGCCGCCGCACGTGACAAACTTGGCTCCGTAGTTGACGTGCCGGCCCTTTTCGGCCGCCAAGGTCTCGAAAATGACCATTGCGCAGGCAACTCTTCCTCAATTCATGGAATAATGGCACAAAGAAGGCTCGAATCCAACTTCACATTCCACAGCCAGGGTAGGGATGAGGCAGATGGGTTGGATGATGCTGACGTGTACATCGACCTAGGGGACGACCCAGACGAAGATCGAGATGCCGCACTTGCCGGTATGATAGATAAAGCGCGCAAGAACGGCATGACAGAGGAAGGAGCACGCCGCCTCTCTACCCTTGTGGAACGTCACAAGGCGATTTTCGAATTCGGCTGGGCAAGTCCCGACCAGCCGACGTCCCTCCAACGGAAATCCGGCTCGAACCAAGCCGGCGGGCAGTAAAGGTCAAGCCTCGACGATACTCTCCAGACCAACGCGCCTTCCTGGAGAAATATGTCGACAAGCTTCGCGATCTTGAATTTGTTGTCGACATGCCAATGGCTGATTGGCAGTCTGCTCCACTACTGGTCCCCAAGCAGAATTGTAAGGCAGGAATGCGTCTTGCCGTTGATCTCCGTCCGGTCAACGCTGCAACG